TTTAGATTTTAGGGTAAACAACGCTTTAAGAGTTTAGAATGTGTTTTTATTCTGCACCTTAAGTCTCAATTGGATAAATAACTTCTGCATAACTATTATCTGCTGTCACATCTGAGAGAGGCAGAGGAAAAAACCTGGATTAAGTATTTACATTGCTTCAGTATCCTGGTTTCTATCCGAGGATTCCACCGAACATATCCATGTTTCTGAAACCAGGGTCTGGTGTTTACATGTGAAACACAGAGGAGAAACCAGTGCACATATAAACACAGTCAGTGTTGTTGTAAGGTTTGTTTTTCTGCTCAGAACCATTGTTGCACATCAAGCTCCTCCCTCCCTCCCTCCCTCTGCATATCTTCTATCTGCAGCTACTGCCTCGCTTCTCCATTAGAAATCAAAATACTGCAATAATAATCCCAAACAGTATTATCTCTCAAATTCATGAAAATCTGATAGAAGCATAACATTGAGACAAGTTCACAAGTAAAGTATTTTGGGGCAAGTTTTCATAATCTGACTCAGAACATGAGATGATTTGCATTGATTTTGATACATTTGACTAATTAAAAAAACAAAGAAAAAACTGTTGCGATAAAGACAGGAACATGTAAGAGGTCTGTATGACTCAACTCTGCATTATACTAGTAACAATAAGTACCTCCACCAAGGTGCTTTATGTTCTTGTCTGCTATGTTTGTTTGTCTGTTGTTTAGCAGGATTACGCAAAAACTGTTGGATGAATTACCACGAAACCAGGTGGAAGGATGTGGGATGGATCAGGAAACACATTTTGGTGAAGATCTGGATCAGGGGGCAGATCCAGGATTTGTATTTTTACTTTCTTTAACATGGCGATATTGGTGTTTTTGGAATAATGTCTCTTGGTGAAAAAATCTTGTGAATTTAAATGTGGTTTCATAGGGGGACCGTTGGGCCTAGGCAGAGGTATGAGAGCTCTTCTCGTCTGTGTGGACAAAGCCCGATACACCTGGTTCCTCTGTCCCATTGACCTTTATTCATGTCAGTCGGATTTCTTAGGTGAAAATAATCCTCAACAAATATAATGTTTCCTCCTTTTGAGGGAATGGGAGCGACAGAGAGGGTGGAGAAATCAGAAAGTGATCAGAGTCTGAGTCGTACTCTTTAAGTTCCATGAACCTGCTCTGTGATCCTGTGTTCAGCTGTGATCTCACACACTTACTTGTCTGTGAGCTGCGAGGTTTTGCTCCCAGATACGCCAGGTTCACGTTGGCCTTCCTGCCGTCGATGATGGGGTTCGCATCTTTGCACGCCCGCTCTGCCGCCCCTCTGTCCACCATGGTCACCTGTTGACAATGTCACAGCATCTCATGTTAACATCATTCTGGTGAACTCTTTAGGCAACATCATCACGTCATGTGAAAGCTCCTCTATCCGGAGCGGAGGGAGTGATCCTGACATGAGCGCTCCGATGAAGCGACAGACCCAGAGCGGGGCGGCCCTGAGGGAGCTGCTGTCCTAGTCTCTCCTCAAATGATTCAATCTTTTAGCTGAAAGCGTGAGGAAACACTGACTACACTTCATGAAGGCAGCGATTAGAGGGTTTTAATGCTTCCAGTGGAGTGTCGGATGTGTGTACGCTCTGGTGTGGGCTGATACGTGTAGGAGGCAGATTTGCTGTTTTTTTTCACACTGGGCTGCCAAGGATGAGATACTGGATTCTTCCTAGAGGGAGTGAGTCGAGGAGTGGGCAGATAGCAGTGGGAAGGAGTAGAGAAGGTGAGGACACACACATTGCAGCTATACACACACACACACACGCACACACACACACAGTCTGAAACTAAACCACCAAGAAACGTGCCACTGGAAACCAAGCCGCTTGCTTTTGTTTCACAGCATCAGACTCTGGACTCTCATGCAAACAGGAGGCGAGCGGATGGTCTGAAATCATTCAAGAAGCTGCTGCTGGGAATTAAAGACCACTGGGGTGGGGGTGGGGGTGGGTGGGCTGATTGGCTCACTGGCCACAGCGGGGCAGAGATAATTTGCTCTGCTCAGGGGTCATAGTACAAGAACACATGAATTCCTCTCGGCCTCGTTTGTCTTCCAACGCACGAACTCACAGTCGCACACACGAACAACAAAAAAAAAACCCCATCCAAGCTGAGGGGGGTGAGAGGGGTGAGAGGGATGAGGGCTGCGAGAGAGGAAGTCAAAATGAAACTACTGCAGCCTTATCTTGCAGAGCCAACTGACATGTCACACCTCTGTGAACAAAGACCCCCCTCCCCACACACACACACA